GGAGGCATCCCAAAGCATCCTCCCGCTTTGGAGCAGGGCTAAGGGGGGATATAAATCAATCAAATCATACTGTAATAATAATAATAATAATAATAAATAGCGGTATAGAAAGGTCAATGCTATTGCTGTTGCTAATCATAAGCCTAGGCCAAGGAAGCCCCATGATAGGTTCGCTTTAGGGTTGCCAGAAGTCGAGGATGACTCGAAGGCGCACAAATAGGAAGAAGAAGCATGGATTGATCTTTCGATTGAGAGTCTCTGGAGCTTTGATTTTTTTTTTGGACATTTTGCTCCATTTTGGGGTTGCCTCGGCCTCCTTTGAGGTGAGGGCCAGAGAGGATCCTTCTTATACTGTCCTATACTGTATTGTCAGTCCTTTGGGCTCAGGGGAGGTGAGGGTGGGGTGTTTTTTGGGGGGCTGGTAGGCGAAGATCTGGTGTGGATGACATGATGAGGAGGATGATGAGGATGATATGATAAGATAATGATGGTAGTAAGTGCAAGAGCAGGGTGAGCAGAGGTCCTCCCCCTAAAGGAGGACACATTATTATTATTATTATTATTATTATTATTACTTGGGAAATGGAAGGCCTTCCAAAGAAATGGGGAACCTTCTCCATAGGAAAGCTCCCCACACGAGATCAATGTCAGTTCATTGATCAATGTCAGTGATGCTCAAACTGGATGGCATTTTGACATGCCTCCTCCTGGACGGGAGGTCGGGATGGAGGACAGGCCCGGGAAAAGGAGGACGCTTGGTCAGAGCCGTTCTTTGCCCCTTTGTCCCTCAAATCCTCCCTACGCCTTATTGATCACTTATTGATACCGTGTGTAGGATCAATAAATATCCTGTCCTGGATTGTCAGGCCTTTTGGCTCAAGGGAGGTGTGTGTGTATGTGTGTGTGTGTGTGTTTTTGGGGGGGCTGCCACGCGAAATGATGCCTGGGGAAAAGGGAGGGGGAGAAGGAGGAGGAGGAGGGGAGCCTAATCCAGGAGCCGGTGCGTAAAGCGGCTTCATTGATAAAAACGGCGGCTTCATTCAGGAGACTCCGGAGCGGTGCTTGCGTCATTGCTGACGTCAGGGATATTTATAACCAGCCTCCGTTCGCAGGGAGGCTGACGAGGGCGGCGGGAGGAGAGACGTCCGAGCCAGGCTGGCCCCAAGGGACATTGGCTGCATCCGCATTGGGAGAAAGATCCGGGTTGAAACCGCTTTAACTGCGCTGG